GCAAGACATCTACAACTCCACTGACGAGTTACATGTAGTATGTCTATTGACAAGAACAGAAGACATAAAATCTGAAGAGGTGGTACTTGATGAAAGATGGAAGAAAGCAACGGATGAGGAGATCGGATCAATTGAGAAGAGTGAGATGGGAAGTAAAGCTGAGCTAGTTGAGGAGTTTAAAGAAGTGAAGAGGGAGTTTGTGATGACCGATTTGGACATCATGAAGTACTTTCTGGGTTTAAAGGTGGACCAAAGAGCAACGGGTATTTTTGTGTCCCAAAAGAGGCATCGGCCACCTCGACGCAGGGGGTGCTGGACGTTGCATGGCTCGCGGGGCCATGGTACACAGAGGAGTATCGCGCTCTGGTGGAAGAAGCATCGAAATGAAAGAAGAAGGAGAAATTTAAGATTATGGGGGAGTTTTGTTGGATAATCTTAAATTTCTAGAGATATCCGAGATATCCGAGATATTCGAGATATCCAAGATATCCGGGATATCCGATTTAGTTATCTGGAATTATTTGATTTTGAGTTATTTGGTTTCAGATTAGATAAGATAGTTTTTTGGTAAGTTTTGATTTGATAAGATATTTTATTATCTTCTTGTTAATTCAGTACGTTGTACAATGGCTATTTAAAGGCCATCTCTTATTCAATAAAAATCACAGTGAGTTGCTACGATCACCCACAATTTTAGTGTTACTCGTCTCTCTTAGTTTTTCTACAAATCCTTGGTCTGCCCACGGACGGACCTGCGCTGTTTTCTGTAATGGCCAATGGTATATCATTCTTTGCAACTTGCAGGAGTATATAAAGATGCAATACACGTGTACACAATTGAAACAGATCACAATAACTGAAGTCAAACCCAAGCATGTTCTTACACATGGTTTTCCATCTCTTTTTCTGTTTCAAACTTACATTGGTTGTTGTGTTTCTGTTGGTTCTATCATATATTCATCTCAAAAGAGAATCTATAAAAAGATTGTAAACTAAAGCTAAATAAGAGTATACAAAAACACTTGGATTAAGTTAGTGAGGAAGAATTTTGAAAGTTTACATGAAGTCATTATTCTAACAAAAAAGAAAAGCAGAAAAAAGATTTTTTTCTTCTTAATTCTATCTCTGTTAGTAGTTTACACATAAAGTCTTTGAGATTTATATTTTTAGTCATACTTAATGATAGATGGTCTTTTATGAATGAATGAAGCTTAAGGATCAGCATAATCTCGTTTAAGTGAGAAAAAATAGGATTATATTAGTTACAATTGAATTAGTGTGTTATTAATTTCCACTTCTCATCTGTCTTTCACATTGAAGGAAAAATAATACGTAATAAACTGTAAACTAAAGATAAGATACCAATTGGCTTGTCCCCGTAAGAGGAACACAATCATCTACTTATTTCTTTTCTTTTTTCCCAACATGTACAGCGTAGACATTTAAATTTTGATTAAATCATCAACCTAATAATGACAATCTTAAGCTTGACAGCTAAGATACGTGTTCAAATTGACTTTGAAGCACATGTGGTTCAAGCCTTTTTGTATAGATAAGAAGGCTGATCAAATTGTTATAATTTTGAAATTAAAACATGTTTGTTTAACCTTTCTTTCCTTTCATTTATTTTATAAGTGAAGTTTTGAAACAATAAAGGGAAATTGAAAGATAAGATTTGGAGTGCACTCAAGAATAGAGAAAAACAGAGAAGTTGAAATAACTATAGTCCGATCATTAATTAACATATGTTCTGCAGAAAAAAAAATTTATTCACATTAATATACAATTGGGAGAGAGTACTCATGTGGTCAAAATTGAGTTCACAAAAATCAGAGATGTTCTATGATTAGTGGTTGAAGATATTGAGAAGAGAAACTCTATTCCTAACTAGTTTTCTTGAGAGGTGTTCAACTCCTATTTCTAAATCCTGAATGCACATTTCCAAATTTTCAAAATGGCTTAGAAAACAATCAATAGATGAAGGCTTGTGACTGAGTAGAGACCGCAAAGCTGCATCCACCTTCTCAAATTCATTTGCGAGTGATTCTTGAGAGTCACAAACCACTCTTTTAGGTTGCATCAGCTTCGAGATTGCTGACCATCTGCTCTGCTTTGGTTGTCCCTTGGGGTCACAGATAAACAACAACAGAGATTCTAATAATCTCACCGTGACCTCTTCTGCTTCTGTTAAGATACTAAGCACGGATAAAGCGTCATCATTATCTTTGTTTGAGGGGAAAACTGCAGACTCATTTGTTATGTCTTTCAAATTTCTCAAGGACTTTCTTACTGCCTTGTTCAACTTGTTCCTTGAAGCCAAGTATTTTCCACCCTCAGTTGTGAAAACAGTTTCATCGCCTTTTCTTCTTCTGATGACTGAGTGAAGTTCATGTATGCTTTCTTTTGATATCAGTAAGCATTCTTTAGCTGTATTGCAGATATCCAGGAGCCTCAGAGACCCTTCTAGGATGTCATCAACACATTTGTCGCTGCACTCTCTTGCTAAGACTTGTTGTTTGATTGGCAATTGGAGCAACTTATCGGTGCAATCATGCAAATCCAGCAAACCATCAAGTTTGTGGCAAAGTGAAGATGATGAAATTGAAGAAGTGGCTTGAGAGTCCTTCAATCTTTGCAGATGCTCCTCATGTTGTGATATGAGAGGGTGAGGTGCGGAGGGCAAGCTGTTGCATCGAGTGTGGAGAGAGCTCTTTGTGTTTGTTTCAGTGACTGCCATTTTCTCTTTTCAGGATTCAAAAGGCTAGGAGGAGATAGGATATATTGTGTCGTGTATTCTAAACTCCGAGTCTTGAGTTTTAAGGGTTAGCATCTACTTTATATATAGCAAAAGAATTATGAAAGACAAGTTTTTCTTCTTCTTTTTTAATCTTTTCCCAGTGTGTCACATAATGAGCATCAAAACTAATATATTATATTTATTTAGATCTAAGCTTCCTCCTCATACTGAGCATGTTATTGTAACACAAAGGAGACAAGAAGAATATATTTCCTCACTTGTCTGGGTCTAGCAATGCTTCCCATGCACCTAGACTTCTCATCCCCGAATTTTCAACTTTCCCAATCACATATATTATTGAAAAACGGCATCATTACGAGCTACTAAAATAAAATATTAAACTCAATGGAACATGCATCATAATAGAAGCTATTGTCTGGAGGAGGAACTGTTACAATTCATAAATAAAATTCAGTTTATGAACTTGTCTTCCCAGAACAGGACAGGAGAGAGAGAAACTTTATTTTCTGATATCAATGTATTAATTAAATATTTTATATAATGTATAAACTCGTGCTACCACTTTTGCATTATTTGAGTATTCAATGCATAATACATCCATTTACATAAACATCAATAAATTACTTGTATGACCTGGGAACAATGCATACACTTCGCCATCCAGATATGAACGATCTTTGATGTTTGAAGATGAATAGATACCCACACCCCGCCTCCCTATTTTCAAGCCATATACAATTAAACATGTTCTACTTAATGGTATTAATAAATAGGGCTGCTTTTCCACCTGCAGACACAAGATCCACTTCCAACGTTCAATCCCATCAGTTCCTCTCTTGGAGTTCACAATTTGATTTGTTGTATCTTGGACCTAAAAATATGGAGGAGACATAGCATAGGTGGCCATCTATGGAATATGTCATGTACATGTCATTCCCAAGTTAAAAATTGAGCAATAAGTTGGAATGCTTGGTTTGTTGAAAGCACTGAGCAAACAATGCAGTGGTAGCAGTAGGATTGTAAGAGCAGAATTAAGATAACGTAGTTGCATTCTCAATTGCTGACATTTGAAAACAAAACTATTCTTCTTGTCTCCTCTATTCATTTGCTATATATTGAGCAGATATCACCTTCTAATTCGGAGAGTTAAGAACAGATTGTATTTTTATTTCCAGCCACCTTCATTTTCTAAGAGGAAATGACAATAGTAGAAACAAACATGAAAAGATGGCTTCACGATCGCAGCAACAGGTTGCCTACTGCATCACACCCCATTATATCACAAGTCAAGGAGAATTTGCACAGGTCGAAGGATTCTGAAGTCACCACGTCTTTGTCATCATCGTCTTCAATAAGTCACAGACTCGATGACTTGAAAGACTTGCATGACAGCACTAATAAGTTGCTCTAATTGACAATGTCCCAACAGGTATTGGCACAAGAAAGCAGCAGCAAAGAAATTGATAAACTATTAGATGGGTCTCTGAGTCTCTTGGATAGTTGTGGCACAATTAAAGATTGTCTGTTGCAAACAAGGGATAGCATGCACAAACTTTTATCAGTTATTTGCAGGATAGATGCAGAAACCGGATTCATAATAAATACTTGCATGTTGGGTGAAAATGAAATAGGCAATTGGAAAGGCCTCGGTAAACTTGAAAGCAACATGTTAAGATCCAATTATAAGGTATGAGACTTGAGTCTCACATTAGAAGTATGGGATTCTAGTGGGGGGTTTAAAGATCTTGGACTCTTCAACTATAACAGCTAGGTTTTGTGGTGTGGTTCTCATATTAGAGTCTTCCACCATGATTTCCAGCTGCAAACAAGAGACGTGGGTGGTGACGCATTGCAGTGACTCCCATTGTTCTTATCAAAATACAAAATAAATTCACAGTTTCTTCTTCAAACAAAGACAAGGAGATTTTTTCCACGCTTAGCATGTAGCATCTTACTAGAAGCAGAAGTGGATTGGATACTATGGGGTCATTAGAATCTTTGATTTTTTTTTTTTTTGGCCCAAAAGACAGTTAAAGCAGAGAAGGAGGACAGTAATCTCCAAGATCGTGCAGCCCAAGAGAATATCTTGTGATTCTGAAGTGTTAGACTGTTGGGATTCAAACAAGTCCCACATCGATAAAATAATACAACAAATAACAACTTATATAATACAAACATACTTCAATGATTGAGAGGCCTTTTGGGTGATGACCAAAAGCAAAACCCGGCTCTAATACCACTGAAGTGATTATTTTATGGTATTTGTCTGAGAGGATATTTTATGAATTATTTTTATAACGTTATTACACAAACATACTCCACAATGATGAGATATTGTTTGAATCCCAACATAGACACTAATGAATTCGAAATTCTTGACACATAGCCTCTCATCAGTTCAAACTTCAAAGCCTTCTTCTACTGAGAATTTTCAAAGCGTGTGCAAAATTTAGAGTTGTGCACCGAAGATATTGAAGTTGGAGTTGAACGCCTCCCAAGACAGTTAATTAGAATCAGAGTTACTTTAATCAAAGTTGAACGTGATTGTTGTTTGCTATATTAGAACACCCATTATTAGGTGGTTATTGGATCGACCATTACTTTAATTAGAGTTGAACGTGATTGTTTCTTGGTGTAAAGGAGTGTGTTAGAGATTTCACACTATTGAAGCCGTTGAAATCTCTGACAGTATTTTGGATGTGAAGTTTTATCTAAAGTTTTATGTTGTAATTAGTGTATCTGTTAGTCTGCTCTAGTACAAGACCCATACCTTTTGGAGTGTGTTCAACTATGTAATGATGTTGGATAAGTTATCCATACTTGTTAAGTAGTTGAATGTGTGTTCATATGTATTTATATATGTTATATATATGTATTAAAAACTTATCAGCAAAAATACCGATGAAAAATCCTTCACGTTACTTTATTCAAAATAAAGTATATAATCTTCGGCTTACAAATCAGTTTGTAAAGTTAAATTAGATTGACCAGTGACTTGCCCTCAGCATAATGAATCACATATGATATATACATGGATCAAACCACATCCACACATAAGAACACTATTGCTGCTAATTTTTCAAGGCTAGGCTGTGTTTCTAACAACAACTAACTAGCATGTTGTTTGGACGCTGTCTAATATTTTTTACCCAATCGATTGAACTTGCACTCGCATAGAAGTTTCATTATATAGTCGAGAATTTTATATTAAAAAATGATTCCTGGATTTTCAACGGTGACCATTCACCTGAGAAACATATAATTAAACAGTACCCGATGAAAAGAATTGGAAGCACCCAGCACCTAATACCTATTGAACCTAAGACGCCAGAAAGAGAGAGCAAATACCGGATTGCGGCGACTCAAAAAAGTCCTGGCCGGATTTCGCCAACGCGTTGAGTTGCTCCATTGTTGTTATCCACGGAACTAACAAAAACTACTTTGTTCAGTGTGCACCAAGCAAGACTCCAACACAAGGTATTTTCTCTTCGTTAGAGACATAGCAAGGAGGGAGGTTTTGTTCTGTTGTGTTGTGCTTCAACTTTGGGGGCATTTCAAGGCTTGTTTCTTCACTGCTCAATTCAGTTCTTTCTAAGCCCATTAATATACAAACTCATTTTACTCTGACGTGTAAGAACAAAACAACAATACACGTTCTTATTGGTTATTAATAGGAAATTTCAATTTGGTTCTTTACTTTTTCCTGTCAAAAAGACATGTCAAATATAACATTGGGAGAATTGGCATATGCCTACAGGCTGAGTAACAATACTAAAAGAAATGATAAGACAAGAGGACAATACAATAGAAGAACACGTATATTAGTTACTGAATTTACATTATTTTTGCAATTTTATATTGGATATTTAAAAATGTTGTCATGATTTTATATTGATCTTCAAATCTGGAAACGATGAATCTGCTCAAGAGGATATGACAACAAAAGTTGAGAAAGATTTTCAGTTCATTATCACTAGACATATACATTTATGGATTCCATGTACAAGTGTATCTATATCGATCAGTACAAAATTGAGTCCCAGCTAGGTTGGACTAATGGTTAAGAACATTAAGAAGGGAAACTCTGATTTTAATCAAACGCCTGAATAGAAACTCAAGTCCTTCTTCAAAGTCTTGAATGCACGATTCCATTTTCTCCAAGTGGTTTTGCAGATTGTTTATGTCTTCAAATTTGCAAGTCTTGGTAAATATGAAAGATTGCAATGCTGCATCCACCAGGGCAAATTCACTTTCATCTGCCGCTAGGGAGCAAGCCACTCTTTTGGGTTGAATTAGCTGGGAAATTGAAAGCCATCGGTTTGCCTTTGATTGTGTTGAGCCTGAGATAAATTGCAGCAGTGATTGAAATGTTGATAGTGTAGCCACTTCCACTTCCTGTAATATGCTAATCAAAGCCTCTGTTTGGTGGCTTTTATTTGTAGTTGATGAGATGTTGTAATTCTTTGAAGTGCCATTCAGATTTGCCAAGGCTTTCGAGATGGCCTTTTTCACTACTTTTCTAGATGTCAAGAATTTTTTAACCTCTGCTATCAGCTCCACTTCACCACCCCTCTTCCTTCTTATCATTGATTGAAGTTCACGTGTGCATTCTTTGGTGTGCAGCAAAGCATCTTTGGCTGCTGTACACACATCTAAGAGCCTTAAGGATCCATCCAAAAGCTCATCCACCCATTTCTCTTGATGCTCGTGAACAAGAACATCTTGAGTGAGGGGAAGCTGAATCAATTTTTCAACACACTCAATCAAATCTTGCAAGCCTCCTACCTTATGTCTCAGTGATGAAGAAGAGGAGGTTTCATTGGAAGCCCTTAAGCTCTCCAACTGTTCATTGCAATTTAGAATGAGAGGGTGTGGTCTAGAGGGCAAGCTATTTGAGCGACTATGAGATTTTGGGTTCAAAGGAGAGGATGCCATTTTTTCCCAAGAGAAGAGAAGAGAAGACTTGATTTTGATGAAGAATTGAGTCTATGGATCTGCCCTTCCAATGGCATCTTGTCAATATAT